CAGCCCTATTAGAGACATGACCTTCCAACTCTCCATTGCTGATAGTCCAAAACTTCTAACAATAGTGGAAACATAACCAGACCTCAAGCATAAGACAAGAATCAGAGCACTTAATGACAACTGGATCTTAAATGATGGGAAAATTAGACTTCACTTCCCTGGTAGCTTTTTCTTCCAGTCTCCCAACTCACAATCCTTTATCCTATGGAATAACCAACTGCCTCCAGCACTCCATAAACACAAGACTTTCCACACCTTTCTGTTACCTCCATCTGGAATGCCCTTTAGATTTGTTATTGCCTGGATAACCTCTGCCCATCCTTGACTCGGCTCAGGATGCATCTGCTCCTCCAGGCAGCCTTCCTTCAATCCCAGGCTCCATGGCATACCTCCCTGCTGCATCCCGTTTGAACCTCCACTGCATCATCTTAGACCAAGTGCTGGCCAAGAGAAATCTAACAGGGGTCACATATATTTAATAGCACAGTTTTTAAAAATTAAAAAGGAACAAGTGAAATGAATTTTAAGTATTTTATTTAGCCCAGCATATCTAGGGCTTCCCTGGTGGCTTAGATGGTATAGAATCTGCCTGCTATACAGGAGACCTAGGTTCAATCCCTGGGGTTAGGAAGATTCCCCTGGAGAAGGAAATGGCAACACACCCCAGTATTCTTGCCTGGGAAATTCCACGGACAGAGGAGGCTGGCAGGTTATAGTCCACAGGGTTGCAAAGAGTCTGACATGACTGAGCGACTAACACATACACAATCCAGAATGTTATCAACAGGTAATATCATACTAAAAATTATCTATTAGCTATTTCATATTCTTTTGTCATTTCAAGTCTTCAAACTCTACTGTGTTTTTTACATGTAGAGAACATCTCATTTCAGACCAGCTACATTTTAAGAGCTGAATAGTCACTCATGGCTAGTAATGACTATGCTAGACAGCCAGACCTTAAACTGAAATAATCTGCTCATGGGTTTGCCTTTGCTATTGGAAGACAAGCCACTCAAGGACAAGGTCAGTTCCTTGCCTGTGGTTTCATCGTGTTGCATCAGGGCCTGACATACACTGAGTGTTCAGCTAATGTTTGCTAAACTAAACTGACCTGAAGGTATTTTGAGAGAAGGTGGAATTTTAGCAGCTGCTCAAATGAAGAGCAGCTTATGTGTACTTATAATAATAATGGTGATAGGAATAATGGCTGCTATTTTGGTCTTGGACCTCATGTTCTATGCTTTTTAAATATATTATTTACTCCTCACAACAACCCCAGGTACTAGGTAGCATTATTACCTCCACTTTATGGCTAAAGAAAATTGCCCCAAATCATACTGCTATTAAGTGGAGGAGCCAGAACTTCCTGAAATAGTTACAGAAAAACAAAGAAAACCACACACACACACCCCATAATAAATACAAAGTTGAAAGAAAATAAATGATATTCACAGATGTGATAAACCTACTCCAATAGGTAAACCTACTCTTGAATCTCCTTTACCAACTTCACCACCATCTTTTTGGGGGTTTCATGATCTGCTGAGTTTTACCTTATACAGGTGTACCTCTTTCCCTGTTCCCGAACCAGCTCTTTCTGATTTAAAATGACATATCTTTCAAGATTGCCTTCTTAGCTGCTGGCATTCTGCCTGTCTTGTCAACATGGCAGCGCTTTTCACAAACTACTCCAGTGAACAGTCAGCTTTCTCAATGCCTAAGCCTGTCCCAGGGCATGGAGAGAGAGTGGGGTATAAACTGTTTTCCTGCACACACTTCCCCCAGAGGACCCCTCCGCCTCGCTCACAGGGCCTGGGGCGAGGAGGGTTGGGGGGAGGTGAGCCATCACGGCTGATGGTGCTTTGTGTACGGGAACTAGGCTGAACTGTGCTTAAGAAAAATGATACAGATTTCCAGTTTAGTGTGTGAGTGTGTACAAAAATTCCATTATCTCTAAACCACAGGAACCAGAACCACATCTGGCAAAGGAAATAAAGCTGGAGACACAAGAAAAGAAGAGATTAGGAGAAGCCTTGGAAAGCAGGCCACCGCGTTTAGATTTGATGTGGTGGGAAATAAAGATCCCTCGGGGGTTTCTAAGCAAGGGAGTGATGTGATGAAAACAGTGATTAAGGAAGATGAAATGCAAGCGGGACAAATTAAAGGGCNCCGCGTTTAGATTTGATGTGGTGGGAAATAAAGATCCCTCGGGGGTTTCTAAGCAAGGGAGTGATGTGATGAAAACAGTGATTAAGGAAGATGAAATGCAAGCGGGACAAATTAAAGGGCGGGACTAGGATCTGACAGGAGGCAGTCCCGGGTTCTGGGAGACAGAGACAGTGAGAGAGAAAGCCAGGGGATTAGGAAAGGCAACCATGATTCTCCATGAATGAACAGATGCCATCCTGAAGTCACTTTACTACCACATTACCTCCAGCTCTTTATGCTCTTACCCTATTTGGAAAGGCAAAAATAAACCCACGAGGAGCTGAGTGTTTTCATTAAAATGATAATAAAATTTCATCTCTGTGAATGTAATGGTTTAAATGTATGTGCACCCTGCTGAGTAAATGGGCTTCACCGTGAGCCTGTGGAACAGTTAGCAGGGCCGAAATGGAGCTCAGAGAAATTGATATTAGGCCTTCATTCACAGAATAAAAAAATACGGTGAAAACAAAGCAGTTTTCTATGGAGAAAGATAAACATCATATGATATCACTTATATGTGGAATCTAAAAAAATATCATACAAATAAACTTATTTACAAACCAGAAACAGACTGAGACACAGGAAACAAATTTATGATTACCAAAGAGAGGGTGGGATAGGAGCAGGAAGGATAAATAGGAGTTTGGGAATAAGAGGTACACACAATTATATATAAAACAGATACATAACAAAGTCTGACTATATAGCAAGGGAAACTACATTCGATATCTTGTGATAACCTATAATGGAAAAGAATCTGAAAAAGAATATATATAATATACAATGCTTTTGAAGTGTGGAGCTGGAGAAGACTCTTGAAAGTCGCTTGGACAGCAAGGAGAACAAATCAGTCAATTCTAAAGGAAATCAATTCTGAATATTCATTGGAAGGACTGATGCTAATTCTTTGGCCACCTGATGTGAAGAGTCGACACATGGGAAAAGATCCTGATGCTGGGAAAGATTAAAGGCAAAAGGAGAAGCAGGCAGAAGAGGATGAGATGGTTAGATAGCATTACTGACTCAATGGATACGAATTTGAGCAAACTGTGGGAGAGAGTGAAGGACAGGGAACCCTGGTGAGTTGCAGTCCATGGAGTCGCAAAGAGTTGGACACAACTTGGAGAGTGAACAATAATATATATATTTTATATATAAAACTGATTCACTTTGCTGTATACCTGAAACTAATACAACATTGTAAGTAAACAATACTGCAATTAAAAAACAGTCCGTTAAAGCAGCCTCTTTTGGATGTAGCCCCTAGGACAGAGTACACTTGGTTGTTCAGCCAAGAGTGCCCCCAACTTATTGCCCTACAGGACTCTGAAAGCATCCTTTCCAAGTCAGATTCCACAGTGTTAGAAATCCACAAGGAACTTGGGTTAACCAACACTTTTTGCCAATGCCCTATTCCCTAAGTCATCATGTGGTCTAATACTGGCTGCAACTTTAAAGGGTCCAGAGATGCAAACGTTCTTTTCATTCAAGTTTAGATCTGGAAAGAGACTTGAGAACATCTAAACCCATAGTTTCAGAATATTTTTGAGCTGTACACAATGGAAATACAATGGATAAATATTGAAATGGGCTCCTTGGGTTGGGACCGTGGTAAAAGGCCCAAAATTCCACCTCCTCATTCTCCTCCTTTTGTGCCCCTAAACCCCACTCTCCCCACAGCTTACACACATTAGAACAGAAACTGAAGCCCTCCTCAGGACTTTGGGACTGAAGGGAAAATAGTCTGCAAAACACTGAAGAATCTAGTATTTTGTCTTATTTCGACTTCTGGTAACAGATGAAAAAATTGAAACCTAGAAAGTGAAAACAGAACTTTAATTTCCAGCCACTAAATAACTCAAAAAGCTGTCTCTTAGAAACCCCTAGAATGCTGGCTATATGCAAATATTCATTTAAATGCATCGAATGAACTCACAAAGGCATAAACTCCTCAATTTGAAAATGAGTATAACCTATGACCCAGCAATTTCATGGCCAAGTATGTGCCCCAGACAGTATGGAGATGCACTACTGGGTCATGGAATCACTTTAGTAAATTGCAAACAGCCTATTTTTTTTGTATGTGAAATAGACTAAATCAAACTGTATCATAGCTGAATAGACAACAAGAGTGTTACTTTGAGGAACTTTTTTCCCACATACAGTGTATACACAGATATACAGAAATGTACACTTGTATGTTCTGGGTTTCCATGTAAAGTGTATGCTTTACTGTGGGTATAGACAAAACATTTTTGAGAAGCTTTTGTATGTTAGTACAGAAAATGAACAAGAACACTGGTCAAGAACATTGCTTACCATGGTGCAAAATTAGAAACAATCTAATCCTCATCACCAGGAGAATGGAGATAGATAAACAGGTAGACTGATGCCTATTCACAAATCATTAGAATATATACTAGTTAAAATGAATGGACCAGAGATTTGTTGCTGAAAGCTAATGCTAAATTCATTAAAAAATCAAGTTGCAGAATGATATGTAGATCAAGTTTAAAGTTTTAAAACATGCAAAACAGAGTACCCACTGTTGAAAGATACATGTGTACACAGAAGAAGTACAAAAGATGTAAATTCAGGACAGTGTTAATCTCTGGGGTGGGAGGAAGGGAATCTGGGATAAAGGAGGAATCCACAAAGAACTTGGTCTGACGTGAACTCATCCCAATGTTGGGGTTGCTGAGAACTCGGCAACACACAGTTTTGTTATTGTGTTCTCCCTAATTGTTGTTATTGATTAAAAAAATACTTTCTAAGTCACAGATACTTACCTGAGACCAGATGGCTGATTGGGATCATCTGGAAGAAAGCTGGGCAGGACCCTGAATCTGATTTCCAATTCAGTCCTCTTCCCACATGGCTCCCAATTGAGGATCTATTTGCAAATGAAGGATTTGCATCATTTTGGTGTGAATCTTAGCAACTTATTTTTACCTGAGAGATACTGTTCCCTCCAGTCCACCAAGACCACATTTGCTCTGACTAGAAATAGCGCAAAGCATACTTGTTCTGGGAGGCTGAGCTGTTGCTTCATAGCTTGTCATTTGGCTCTGCTTTCCAACTTCGCTCATGCATTGAAACAGAACACTGAGCCACTGAAAGGTCAGTAGAAAGATGATCTAAACATGCAGAAAGTATCAGCAAAAAGAGAAAGAAAAACAGAAAGAGGAGAGGGAAGACTCAGCTGCATGTGAGGATTTAGACAAAGTCAGGAGTCACCATCAAATTAAAGTCAGAAAAAAAAAATTAAAGTCAGAATACTGCTAAGGAGCCATCAAACACACAGAGAAGGTTATTTTAGAAGATGGAAAGAACTTGAAATAATAGCATTTCATACCTCTCACAATCTAATACACAGTCTAATGGGAGGGGGTTTATTAACATTTTTTCTAGTCTATTTTAAGACAAAAACAAAAAGACAAATGATACCTTGGCAATGGCTGGAGAGTCTTACGCAGAGATTTATTATGCTTCAGAAAAGTTCACGGCAGTGGTTTTTATCATTGGATCCTTTATACTCTTCGAGTTACATAAGAGGCTCTTCCTTCTTTTCGTTCTCTAAGTGTAACTTCGGGGTCAGCTCTAGATTTTCGAGTGCATGGGCCAGAGCTTTCTGCTATTCAAAAAGAAGATAACTCTTGCAGTTGAGCGCCAGGAATACATCTTACTCTGGAGTCAAGCATTAAACTGTATGGGGATATGTTTTTAGACGCTTCTCACCCTGGAATGCCTACCCGTTATCATGAGCCATGAAAGTATTCAAGACTTCCCTGGCAGTCCAGTGGCTAAGATTCCACACTCCCAATGCAGGGGCCTGGGTTTGATCCCTGATCAGGGAACTAAGATTCTACGTACCACAACTAAAGATCCTTCATGCCACAATTAAAATTTGGAGCAGCCAAATAGCTAAATAATTTTTTTTAAAAAGAGAGAGAGAGAAATTACTCTTCTCATACTGCTGGAGAAAACTCAGACCTGTGACAGAAATCCTTCTGTTGTCCTGAGAGCAAATGTAACAACAACTAACATTTACTCAATATTTCCTCTTCTAAACACTTGACCCCATTTAGTCATTACCACCTTCTCAGGAAGACACTACTGCTACCCCATTTTGTAGATGGGAAAATTGAGATACTGGAAGGTTCAGTATAATCATATCCTTCAGGTCACCCAGAGGAAGTGGTAGGGCCGGGATTTGAACCCAACCAGTTGGTTCTAATAGCCTGGGCTTTTATGCACCACTCTGTCCAGGAGGTGGTATTTAAAATAAATGAAGGTGGTTATTGAAATGACAGCACCAGGTTATGTTACAGCCAGGAGCCTCGGCTTCAGATACAGGAACTTTAAGAGGGAAGTATTTACACACCAGTGAAGGTGACATCAGAATCCTTTCCTGACGGCTCGTAGCAACCTAAAGCATTGNAAGAACATTACAGCATACTAACGCATATATATGGAATTTAGAAAGATGGTAACGATAACCCTATATGCAAAACAGAAAAAGAGACACAGATGTACAGATTGTACACTTTCACATTGTTGGCCCAGGAATTTTTTCCTCCTTGTTCCATAAGTCAAAGCAAAACAACAAAATAATGTAAACAACTGTGAAAGACCCATGTGGATACCCAAAAACTTTCTATTGTAAAATTAATGTTAACTTTGGTTAGGTCATTTTTCCTTTTTATTTTTCATCTCTTAAGAGGAGGGATATTGATCACTGAAGTCTCTTCCAACTTTGATATTTTGTAATCCATTTCATCCTAGATCTAGGAGAAGCAAGCGGGGTTTTTACTTATTTTTAAAATTAATTTATTTATTTTCAGTGAAACAATGATGAATATTTTTAATGATAAAAGGCATAATTTCATAAAGTATATAGACAGCTTACACCATTAGACAGCTTAACAGCAAAAAAACAAAGATACCTAAAGCAAAAATCAGAAGAAATATAAGGGAGAAGAAAAAATATATAGTCATAGACATACTAACATTTCTCTGAGAATATTTTATCAAGTGCAGAAAAAAATAATAGGAGCATTGTGAATGATATCATTAATAATTTAAATATAATAGATTTATATTTAATTGATTTATATAATCATATCCTACACAAATACATACAAAATTTTTTATCTCACATGTTATTATTAGAAAATAATGAGCCAGGGCTTTTAAATGGTAGTTTGGCTACTTGCAGTCCACCTTACCTCCTAAAGTGAACACATGCCTAACATCTGATCAGTCATATAGGATCCATGAGAAAATGTGACAGCTCTAATAATTAATTGCCCCCAAGTTCAAGTGTTAAGGAGAGTTGAATTCTACACCGGAACTAGGTGGATATCTGGTTTAGCTGCACCCTGCCAGAAGTAGGGGTGGTGCATTCCAATACTTTCGTTCTGGGTCATGCCAGACACATAAGAAATGCCAGATAGGATAACCTTGGAGGGTGCTTCAAGCCCTACGATCTCATGTGACTGCTTCACTGATAAGTATCACTTGAAAATGATGTTGGGTATGACCAGCTGTAGCAAGCTGGGAGCCAGAGCCAGGTCTTTCCACAGAGAGACACATCAAATGTGGCCAATGTAACTCGAGGAAGTGACCGGAGCATGGTCTTGAAGCAGCTTCATGCCAGCTGAATGGTCTGCCAGCCCCTCCAGGGGAGGGCCAACCCATTTCAGAGGAAGCCAGCCCCCCAGGGAGCCTATGTGGTGTGCTGAGAACGATGGTCCACTCATCAAGGGCAAGGGCATGATCAGTCACTCCAATCACAGTCTGTCACCCAGGCTCCCTGCCCCCAGCCATCCCACCCTGGCCTGAAGCAGATGCTGGGAACAATCACCCCATCAGCAGCCTCGAGATCCATCACAATGCCTGCGAGCCGAGTGGCGGGAACAGTCACAATGAGATAAGCATGGGTGGCCTCCCGAATCACCGTGCACTGGACACCCATTAATAATCCAGTCTGTGTGTCCAGCCCACCATGCCCGCCCTGCCAAGGGCCTCTGCACTGGCCATTCCCTTTGGAAAAGCTTGGTCCCCGGGTCTTTACAACTGGCACCTTTATGCAATTCAAGTTTTATTTCCAGTGTTACTTTCTTAAGTCTTCTATGCTCACACACCACCCCCCCAGACTCTCTATCACAACACTGTGTTTTATGTTTCATATAGCACTTCTCACTACTTGGAATGATTCTGTTCATTTACCTTTCTGGTTTATTATCTATTTCCCCTTTAGAATGTTAATTTAATGAGAACCAATCTCCTCAATCTTCTCCAATCTATTCCCAATATGTAGAAAAATATCTAGCAGATAATAAGGGATTGATAAAAAATTAGTAAAACTAATGTATGAGTTAATGAGTTAATTCCATCTAGGACAGGTGTGTCCTGGTTCCAAGAGGGCTCCCTTCACTGTCTCTGCCACGGTACTAAGATTTCAGGGCTCCAGGGGAGATTTCATAGACACCTCTAAATATGTCCCCATTTCCTGAGCTATCTCTGTCTTCTCCCCCATTAAAGCTCTGAGAATCACTCTTTGATCTGTAGGAACTGGCTCCCAACATCTATATTTATCCTATATAACTTTTTCACTTAGGAATGATTTAGGTTGCAAGTAACAACAATAACGACAACCTATTATAGTGAACTGCAATGTCAACAAATGGATAATTTTCTCAAGAACCAGTCAAGAGGTATTGAGTCTGGTGTCACTGTGACAGCTCTATTATATAGACATCTTGGCTTTCTCTCCTTTAAACCCCCTACTCCTAGTATACACCTTTCATCTGGGGCTTGTCATATCTCAGTCACATCATGGCACCACTAGGCATCATGTCTGAACTCCAAAAAATGGAAAAAACAAAGGGAGAAAAAGCCATGCCATATGAATTTGTTGTTCCTTCTTACTGGGAAAACAAAAGCTCTCTCAGAATCCATATCCAGCCCTTTTCTATTTACATCTCCTGCCCTAGTATTGGGTCTCAAGGCCATCTGCAGACCAGTTCCTGACACAGGGCAGTGAGATCACAGTGACTGGTTTAGACTGTCACACCATATCTCCTGGGGCTGGAGAAGGGACCCACTTTCTACAAGATCAAGATGTTGCCACATGCTCCTGAACCATCAGATACATCATAACTAAATGGCCTTAGAGTAGACATTTCACCCAAAATCTGAGCTGAGACTCTGGGAAACTGAGAGTGGAAAGCAGACCCCTTGAGCCATCATGCTTCTGAACTTTCTGAGGATTTGACTCTTCCAAGTGTTTAAATTCCATCATATGCTCAAGTATCTACCCAATAGATTCTTTTTTCCTTAAGCCGGCTCAAAGATTGTTTCTGTTATTCAACACCAAAGGGTCTTTGTTACAGGAACATCTAAACACCAGCATCCAGCAAGGCCAACCAGGCAGAATGGTTGCTTCAGGGTGTCAGACATTCCACTTCCATCCCCCTCAGGAAAGGCAGCCCTTTAGACCAAACACTCTGCTCCCCTCAAGGTGACCCACCTGCTTAGACATTATGTCATCAGCCTGACAACTTCCTCCTCTTCACCTTCAGACTATATTTGCTAAGGTCCCCAGTAGACAGGGAGGCTTGCTGGGTACTAAAGGCCTGCCTCGTGACAGAGGGACGGGGTTTGTGCAATAACACCCATGCTTACTGGTGGAGATGTCACATCTCACATCTATGGGATCAGACCTTCTGATTATGAGCCCAGTACTTTTTTTTTTTTTAAGCTATCTGATTATCCAGGACACACACACACACTCATACTCTCTCCCTTTCTCTCACATGTGGTTGTGTTAGTCGCTCAGCTGTGTCCAACTCTTTGCGACCCCATGGGCTGTAGCCTGCCAGGCTCCTCTGTCCATGGGATTCTTCAGGCAAGAATACTGGAGTAAGTAGCAATTCTCTTCTCTAGGGGTTTTTCCCAACCCAA